CATATCAGTTAATTGTGATTAAACCATTAAGTGCAAGTAATCACAAATAGCTGGCATAGTGATGAACACCATTTGTCCTAGTCTACAATAACCACATTGCCATAGTCAGCATCACGTCAGCTAATTCATATATTCCCAAACGTGTTCAAACATGCTAAAATTATGTAGTGTACCCTATATATTTTCTTATATATATGCACAGTATTGGGTGCATACGTTTGTCTGATACTATGGAATATTAAAGATGTGTCCTCAAATTGGGGATATTTCCCCCTCACAAAATGTTTAGTGGGAAAGAGAGTCCCTCCGCTTGGAACATCATCCAACATAAAAAAATATAGCCACCTCGTCAATACAAGATTATAATAATTCACTCTTGGCTCTCTAATGAATTGTATAAACACTATTTATTAAGACATAACAAGGCCCCTGGACGTAAATATAGCCAAGCATTCACTTGATGGCTATTTGTGGTCCTAGGGGTTTTCTATCTAATTTAAATGAAGAGTTTTACTTCTGTAAATTATTGTTATAAAGAAGCTGCTTAAAAATGCATTTTATGAAAGCAGTGATGTACATTCTGGCAGAAACACTTCAGAGTTGCTGCTCTTGGGAATGTAACCTCTCAGTAAATTTGTAAATGAAATACAATGAGGAGTGTGATAAAAAATTGTACTGATCAGCCTTTGTTAGCAAATTATAACAAATCAGATTTCCACACTTTCCCTTTACATATTGGGATAGGCTGGTCACTTACATATAAAGGCCATTATACAGGGAGTCCTTGGACTTATGACACAATTCGTTCCTCAGAATTGCATTGTAAGTCGAAAGCACTTTTCCCATAGGAATCAATGGTATGAAGGGGGATTGGTTTCTGAACCAAGGCTTGATACTATTTTCACCACAATAACCCAGATTTTTGTACTAAATGAATTATAGATGACTAATGTTGCAACATCAATGTATTTACTGTACACTGTATTTTGTAAATCACATTCAAGTAAACATATAAACTCACATATGCTGCTCAGAATGCCGGCAACACAGGCTCAGAAAACCAGGGATAATGGCAGAAATGCTAAGCCTCAGCCAATCACTGTTCAAGCTTACTGATTGGCTGAGCTCGGGGCCGGGAGCCAATAAAAAACAAGCGGCAACCCTACTTGGCAAAAAGCTATCTTGCTGCCTCAAAGCAACTCAGAAGTGACCCCCTTCAAGCTCCATACCAGTATAACGCAACCAGGAAGTGATTTCAAGCGAACTTTATGCAAATCAAGTGACCTAAGGGCGAAAGAAGCATCATAGGGGCGAAACGGGCAGTCAATTGAAAAGCGCTGTAAGTGACGTCCAACGTAAGTCAGGCATCATAAGTCTGAGGACTCTCTGTATTACTGTGTATATTAACATAAGGGATAGAAATATTTTTGTTTGTATATTTAGGCCCTGTATATTTAAGTATCCTCATTAAAGAAGCATGCTGAAGCATGCACTTAACTTAAAGCACATGTTTAATACCCATTTAAGTCAATGGTACTTAAGCATGTGCTTAAAACTAAGCACATACTCATGTGATTTCCTGAATAAGGACGAATTTAAGCATGTGCTCCAGTGTTTTCTTGAATCAATGTCCCAATGAGCATTTGATCTGGACAGTAAATCCAAATCAGATTAAACAAGACTTCAGCAAACTATCACAAGGGTAATTACTACAGTTAATAGAAAAAGCTTCATTTTCTCATAAAGAGCACAAATAATTTAAATTCTACTAAACAGGAATGCTATTTGCTATGGGTGAGGGGGCATTTGTCCCACTCCCTATCCTGAATTTTCATAACTCCTTGCCAGGTGTCTGCCCTGGGTCTGCAGGGGCTGCTGTGGGGTGGGGCAGGATGGGCCAGAGCACCTAATTGTCAGCTTATCAGCACTGCTCTCCCCATTGGCAGGACAGGCAGCAGCAGCAGCACCCTGGGTTGAAGCAAGCTAGGCCCCAATCCCTGCCCAGAGCCCACCTCTTACTCCCCAGGATAGTACCAGCACCCCACCTTACTCTGGGATAGGACCAGCTCACTAACTCCTCCTGCACCCACGAGCAGCTGCGGGCTCAGCGGGGAGGCAGAAGCGGGAATACTGACACAACATTGCCCCTACCACCAGAATGTTTCTGAAACAATGCCCCTGCTACTAAATTAGGTGAAGATTTTCATGAAGAAGTTGTTTAAACACCAGGCTATAACATCATTCTCACACTCACTCTCTGTCCCAATGACTGTTCAATTATTTATCGAAAGTGGGACAGTTAAAACAGGACACCACTGAGAGAGACTCACCTCAGAATATCCCATAGCCCAGAAGCTAGGGCACTCACCTGAGAGGTGGCATATCCCTGTTCAAATCCCTTCTCCTGTTCATGCAGAGGGTCTCCCACATTCTGGATGTGTACACTAGTCACTGAGCTAAATGTTATGAGGCGCTCCTCCATCATCATCACCTCTGACAAGAAGCACCTAACTCCAGCAGAGGGTTCACGGCTGTGAATTCCAAGTGGGGATAAGCGCCTCCCTGCAGCCTGGACGTAGGTATCTATCTTCCTGAGAGGGGCAAAGCTTGCCACACACCCCTTGTCTTAACATTCTGCCATTGGCTAGTTTAGCTGGCGCCACGCTCAGCATGCTGCGTTTTGTAAATCCCATTTTTAGGCACCTATATCTCCCTATTCACTCTATAGGGAGCAGAGGTGCCAAACTTTTAGGCTTTTGTAAATCCCAGTGATTTTCTGAAAGTTAGGCCTTGTGATGTTTACCACAACTCAATCCCTAAATGCTGAATTCCTAACAGCTATTTTATTCTGTTTAATTATTTGATCATATAGCTAAATGCATTGATATGAAAATAAAAACATAAAAGGCCAAATTCTGCTCTCAGGTACATAAGTACAAGTTTGGAATGATTCTTGATTAATTGCGTTCACTCTAGGTATTCACCTGAGTGAATGAGTGTCTACTTTGGCCTATAACAGGGGTTCTCAAACTGGGAGTCGGGACCCCTCAGGGGTTCGCGAGGTTATTATATGGGGGGTCACGAGCTGTCAGCCTCCACCCTAAACCCTGCTTTGCCTCCAGCATTTATAATGATGTTAAATATATAAAAAAGTGTTTTTAATTTATAAGAGGGGTCACACTCAGAGGCTTGCTATGTGAAAGGGGTCACCAGTACAAAAGTTTGAGAACCACTGGCCTATAACATACAAACCTACTGGATATCATCAGCACAGCCGTAATTCATTGATTTGGAAACAGCTATGATGTTGCACAGAGAGATATTCATGAAGAAGTGGAAACTGACTCTGCTTATGTAAACACCTTCACCATTAGGGATGTCTCACTGACTGTAGGCAGCCTGGATACTCTCTAGTGGAGAGTCAGGTATCAAATGGCAACATGAAAGTCGCTAGGAATGAATGCAAGGCTGCAGTTTCTCCTTTCCACTTTGTTCTCATCTTGGCTGGGATGGTAATCATTGCTCAGGTTTGTCTGTTTCCTTAGACTTGGTTCATATAATCAGATGCATGTTCAACATGTTGGATGGTCTCTGAGGTACATCTTGCTTTATTGATTAGCATCTCAGATCCTCAGGTAAATCTGGTCTCTAGCTGTTCAGTATTCAGCAAGCAAACCTCTCATTCCTTTCCCATCATAGAGATATTTATAACTCCTCGTTTGCAATTCCACACAGGTGATTTTAGGCTGAAAATCGGTCATTTTTCTTTTCCCCCTGTGGGAAATTTCAGCTTCTTAGGATGGAATCAAAAACGGAAAGTTTTCAGCTGAAAACTGAAATTGTTAATTAGGAAATGCCACCACAGAGCCTTATGTCAGCTGTATTTCAGGCACCTCATGTCCCCTTTCTCCTCTGTGTGCTGAGGTCCCTAGCTGGATTACAACTCTCATGATGTACTATGGTGGCAGTTAAAGAAAAGACATTAACAGGACCACATTATCTTAATCTCTTTTGCTCTATTTGGATTTCTCAGCCTCTTTGTGAAGATAATTTCCTAACCTTGCTAATAAAACATTAAGGAAACATTTATTTCTGCTAACTTTGCTAATGATGACCCCTTATTTCCAAGACGCAGGACCATTGTTCCTACACTACCAATGTCTTGTGATGATAGAAGTGTCATGCTTTTAACAGATGAGTGGGGGTGGAGGTTATTTTGGCTTCTGGCAAAACTTATCTACAAAACCAAATTTAAATTAAAACAGGCCAATTAGAGTTGGTTATGCTTGGTTCAGGAAACTCACTGAACACAGTAAAGTCCACTTGGGATTAATGCGTGTTGTCCAAGCAATTTGAACATCCAGCCACTTCCCGAAACTTAAGGTTTTCTTGCAGAATCATTTTGTCAAAACTCTCTTGAATGTCCAAATGCCCTCCTCACATTATTTGTGGTTTCTCATTCCTTCATCTGATGACGCCTCATAATGTCCTGACAAACCCTTCATATTCTCCCAGGGGCTTACCTTCTTTTCCAATGGTACCCTTTAGGAAGAGCTGCTGGGCCACTTAGCCATAGGGAAAGACAAACATATTGGGCTTTTTATGATTAGTGTATCATAACCACCTATGGTTACATTTTTGAACATGTGGGTGTAGTACCAGCTTATGAGGGGTACACTTAACTACACAGACTACCCTTTGCATAGTAATATTGCAGGTGTATTATATGATAAGTACCACCCATTCTGGAGTGGCATCTCGTTTGAACACATGGATTGGCTGACATGACAGTGTCACTTCCAAAGTAATATAGAAGACAGTGTTTGGGGTCCAATATACATGCAGTACCAAAAATTCAAGTAATTGAGGGATATTCCTTGGTAGCTGATAAATGGTGCATCCCACTGCTCATCTATCTCTAATGCTGTTGTCTGAGTGTTTTATATGCTACACTATATGTTACATATAACTGATACAGTTTGTTGATTTGGATCCAATAGGCCGGAACCAGTATTGTGGACAAAGGATGGCGGAGAACTACCAGATCCAGAGAGAATGGTTGTCAATGGTAGGGACCTAAGAATTAGTTTCCTAAACAAAACGGACAATGGTACATATCGATGTGAAGCAACAAACCCTATTGGCCAAAACAGCACAGAGTATGTCCTGATTGTACATGGTGAGTACATCTCTTTAAATTCAGTAAGGGAGAGTACCTTGATTAATATTAGAAATTTTTGTTTCAACCAACTATAAGCAAGTGATAAAGAACACATGAAAGAACGACAAGAAAAAATTAAAAGTGCAATTATTCTTTTCGGAGCGCCATCTACTAGTAAGCAACAGGCTGACTTCCTTTTATTAGTAGGAGTCTAATAAATTTTGTACACCGTATATCTTTCAAATATGTGTGGAGAACCCCTTGCTAATTAAGCAACAGGCAAAAATGTCTTTGAGAGTATACTGGGAACTGTTTTATACATAATTGCATCCATAAAACATGGTGTTTAGATATAACTGTCTATGAGTGGCTAGGTCACATATAAACAAAAACCAAGAAGTACAAGGCAGTTGCTATTTATTTTATAAACCATTCAAGACAGAATACTAAAAATAAATGATAGCCTAGTGCAGAGCACTCTCAACTCCCAATGTAAGCTGAAGGTCTTGCATCACCCCAGAGACTCAGGCCCTATGTTAAAAATCACCCCCCAAATTGTCTAGTATCACAAGTTCATAATACTTATTTAATAAAATGGCCTGGTTCTCACTTAATTATGATTGTTTTGTTTTGCCTGATTTGTCTTGATGCTTCATGTCAAAAGAATAAAGGCCTTAATATTAAGTGTGAAATAGCTTGATGCAACAAAAGTACAGTAGAAGCCATTATAAGAGTCAGCATTTGGCAGCTGTTACCACACCGTTACCACAGATCTCCACCATTTAAATCTGTTACTTCAGACAATCCTGTGTGGTAACTGCTGGAAAATGGTGACTCCTACAGTCTGGATGTGAACCCAGATCTCAGAGGTGAGATGAGTTCATTAACTCCATTGCAACACCTGTTGCAATCCTTTTTTTTTTTCTAGCTTTTATACATGGGCAACTTTTTAAGAACCACCGCAAAATAAAAGGAAACACTTTTTAAGGTGAGTCTCAGACTGTAAAAGAGTCATTGGCATGAGAAATATGAAGTCTATTTCCTCCTTATAAGTCATTCAAGTGGAACAAATATATATGTTACTCTGGTGTTTGCAAGCTAGCCAACAGCATGATTCACTTGAAGTGCCAAATTACCTTTAGGTAAGTTTGGCAGTTAACATATTTATAATAAATATTTCTCTAAGCATTTTGTAATTAGTCATTTTCTGTCTCCGTTATTGAACTATAACTTATCAAAACACCCCCTGGATTAATACTGTTCATGCTGCTGAAGTTCATCATTAGTTTACCTAGTAATGATGGGCTCTTTAGACCACTGAGGCTCCACTGCTGAGGATTACTATGTTGAAAAAACAACAAAACTAACAAAAACCACCACCCTCAAACCTCCACTTATGTTGATTACCACAAAATATTTCCCCTTTTAAATCCTGTAGGTAATGGTTTATTAGTTGTTGGCTGCATACACAAAGTGTTACTGTCTCTCTTTGATGGACTGACAGTTTTCCAAAACCCACCAACTGTTGAAATCTGGGTGGTCTCTGTATTTTGTCAGAGGTATTAAAGTGATAATTTGGGAGAAGTTGACACTTTTTATCTCTTACATCATGGTTACTTTTACATTAGCTATGGCCATTTAATATACCTACACCTCTACCCCGATATAACGCGACCCGATATAACACGAATTTGGATATAACGCGGTAAAGCAGTGCTCCGGGGGGGGGTGGGGGGGGGCTGCGAGCTCCAGCGGATCAAAGCAAGTTCAATATAACGCGGTTTCACATATAACGCGGTAAGATTTTTTGACTCCCGGGGACAGTGTTATATCGGGGTAGAGGTGTATAAGGAAGAATATTTGATGATCAGCTGCCTTGTGTCTTTCACTTCCAATCAGTTGCATGCACCCTACTGATCTGATTACAACTTGATGGCAGTCTCTAAAATCATTCATTATCAAGATGCCATTCTGCTGTGTGTGACAGCACATTATGCATTTTATCTCATTTAACTTTAACATTGCTGACAATGTCTGTTATGGATACTGGAGCTTTCCTTAATTGCATTCAAGCAAATCTAGCATTAGAACTACATAAGGTAATTTGGCTTCCTAGAACTCAGTAACATTGGAAGTTGTATGACCGAGAATGCAGTGATGTTTGCTATTAATAACCTGTTCCATACTGGAGTTATAAAGCCTCTGCTGTGAATGAGAGGTTGGGATTAATTATTTAATTATAGGGATAGTGTAATTAGTTTATACAGATCAATTTGGGCAACCACTTGTCCCCTCTTTTTATCATTGCCTCAGACTGATCAGCTCATCCAGATTTAATGAAACAGGAACTTCCTTTCTTTTCTGTTTGAAAACTGATGAAAAGCAGTTTTGGTATCCTGCAGCCAGGTTGTCTTATTGAATAGAGGACATATTTTCCTCGTAACTTTATTTTACTAAATAGATTTGTAGCACTCTCTGACTTCTCTTCACACCTTCTCCTGTAGCTAAGGCGGTGACATCAAAATATGTACCCCTTCCCTTTATTATGGCTTACATACTATTATATAGTCATACATTCTGACCTACCCATCTTTGATTTCTTATACATACAGTGCCAAATTTAATATGGCATGGACTAAAGCCACATGGGAAGGGAGTTTCCACAAGGAAGCCCTCACAGAAATTCCCCCATATTGTCTGGTCAGGGAGGCAACATTCCAGAAAAGGGGAATCTAGCAAACCCACAAGCAATCATGCAGATACCCTGCTAGCCACCAGCAGCACCCCATTGGCAATGCAACTTCATTGAAGCCAAGCTACAAGTGACTTTGTCATAGAAGCGTCTAGGACCACAGGGTGAGATTGTTGGTTATGTGTAAAAGATAATACAACTATGAGGGCTGTATTAACTTTTCCAGATAAGCGCTGTGGGACTGGATAGAGAACAGTGGGCATCCCAACTCTCAACCTTCCCACTTCTCCCCTGACTCTCTCAGTCTATGCCACCAGATCAAAATGGAGAAATGATGCCACTAAGGCAGTTGAGGCCCCCTTCTGTGTGTGGAAGTTCTCCTTCATGCACAGAGCAGTGGAAAGGGAAGCACGATCTCGCTCACAATAGTTTTTGTATTTAATTTTTACCCATATAAGACTTTTTCCTCCTTGTTTGTCTTATTTTTTCTCTTTTAACAGAATTTGTCTTTCTGCTTTTTTATCAAGTTTCTCAGACTTGCCCACCCTCCCTGTTTTCTTTTTTACTATTAACACGTCTCTCAGTGGGACCCTATCCACTAATTCCCTCAATTTTCCAAAGTTATCTTCATAACTCAGAAGAGATTTAGAAAGCTTAGAGCAGAAGCTTGCCTAAAAATGAAAATGTGTAGTTTATCATAATTAGAGATTAAGGGTAATCAAAGTGTATATACATATTAATTATACAAACAAAGCAAGGAGCATATGACGCCTTTAATTGGGCCAACTTAGACATAAAATTATATAGAAGAGTGATCACTTCTTCCCATTGCAGATGAACATGAGGTAATAGTTTTATGATGTTGGCTGATGGTAGTTTAAATAAATATAGCTATATGCAGATTAATGGCAGTTTGTTATAGTTAGTATCTACTAACAAGTCTTTTTGTTTCATTTTTTCACTATAAGTAAAGGAATCTTGTTTTAGAAAAAGTGAACATATTTAACTATGAAATGGGTCTGTGCTGCTTTGCTGAAGAAATACAGCTGCTACTTTCATTTTTCTTTTGTCAGGAAAACACTCAAACTGGAAGGTGTACACAAAATGAGAGTTTATAGACAGCAGTGCAAAGGGAAGATACGTTTTTCACTCAAACATTTGTCTCCTGCAGTAATGAAAGCCAAATCCTAATACCTGTAGCTGTTGTCATTTCTGTATTCTAATATATTATTTTGGTGTAGTAGAAGTTCACATTCTGGTAAGATATATTATACCCCATCTATAGTGACGGACTATAGACAGCAGAATCTGTGCTTTCTCTCTCCTTGACTTTATTGAGAATTTTTGGTTACCTATGATCAAATACTTGCTATTAATCACCAGTATGCAGAACAAACTACCGAAATAATGACATTCAACTCAAAAACATATTTTCTACTTGGTAAGCTAAAGTAAAAAGCTCCATTAATTTAGCTGGAGATGAGAACTGAACAAGTCTGTCATAATCAAGCTAAAGACACGGTTGTTACATATGGACAAATCAATCACTAAAGACTTGGTTCAGAACATAATATCAGGGATGACAGAAATTCAAATTAGTGATGGAGTATCCACCAATATGAACAATAAAATGAAAATGAGATATGAGGCCTGAGTTTAATGTAGTATCTTACTGACAAACAGACAAATGTCAAGATAAACTCTTTATTAGGAACAGGATTTATGAACAGAATAAGGTAAAAACTTTCCACTACTCTGTGTAGTTGCAGCCTGGGACTGCCCTGTCCTGGGTTTCTTGTTTCTACCCCAGTAGGATGTGTGTCACCAGTAACCAAAGACTGAATGTCCAGAAAGTATGGCATCTCTACACTTTTTGGAGGATTCACTGTATACCACACTCAAGATCATAATCTCCAAACACATCTTTTCTCTCTGGAAAGCTGAAATAGAAGCTCCACTAGGTCAGTTAGTAATGAAAAATCATCATCTGTAAACAATTCCATTATATTTCAACAGAGGTCCCTAGTAGAGCAATGCCTTGAAGTAACTTACAAATTATCATTGGTTTTTGCTTAATATCACAAGATACCATGTGATACATTAGATTCACTGTATCTATACATTAGATTCACTGAGACAAGTGGAGTTACTGTACATCACATATCTTATGATGTTGCAAGGTAATGTGGAAGTTACCTTGAGTCACTACTGGTCATGGACAGTTCCTTTCATCAGCAAATACAATATAAGTAGTGGAAAGAGCTAGTCCTGGTGATATGAAGGCTTTCTCCTGGGCAGTTAGCTTGGATTAACTTGAGCATCCCAT